TGTGATAAGAGTTGTATGAGCCCCTAAGAAAACGATTAAAAAAATCATAGATATATGAATGGATCTTGGGCTCGCACTTAATTCTAGCTCCAATCTGAGAACAATCAGTTCTTATGACACGGGCCTGCTCAATGCTCACCCTCATGAAGAGATCACGGAAGACATGGGTGGTATAGGAAAGTGTGGCATAGAAACTAGATGGTCCCTGGCTATTAGAAAGAATAGCTTCTGGGGTCTTAAAGGGTTGTCTTCAAACAAGCAGCCATCTAAGTGAGGTATCAACTAAGTCCACATGGAAGAAGCACACGAGCCTGTGTGATTCAAGGATTGTGAATAATATAACTCACATCCCAAGAAGGGAATGGAATCAGCTTACATTGTCAACACCCGGTTTGCAGAAGGGTATGGATGACAGTGGAAACCCAAAATCTGTTTGCAGTGTTCCTACATAGATTAAGCCTCTGGTGAATCCCCTCTGACCATAGTCAAGGGATACGAATAGCCTTGCTATCAGACAGAGAGCATTGTAAAATCGATTATGGCAGATGTAGCTTAGCAGATGTAGATTAAAATGTACTACCTTATCATTTGATCTGCCTTTTGAACTATTTTAGTTTCGGTTTTTAATATTTTCTACTTTCCTTTTGGTTAAGGTTTTGCTGTTTTGTCTGGTCATTGTTGATTTTTTGTTTGCTTGCTTTCTGTTTGTTTTGTTATAATTTTCTGTATATGAAATCTGATAGGTAAATCTATAGTGGCAGTAAGTGGATTGATAATTGCGTGGGGCACAGCAGAGAAAGATGGGAAGAAATATGGAGCTATCAACAATGAGTATGGGAAGAAAATGTTCTGAAATTAATTGTGGTGATGATTGCACACATCTTAATATGATTGAATGATTAAATTGTATGATATGTGAAGTATAGGCTAATAAAAATATTTAATCCAGCATAATGATACTTCTAATGATGATCACAGCTCGACTGTTTTAGAAAACAATGGAAACTTTCTAAGTTTCATAGAAATTATGTCAAAATATGTGTAAGAACCTGTGTACAACATATAATACAGGCCTAAGAAAAAGTAAAAACTGATCACAGTACAGAATGGACAACTCAAAATGAGATTATTAGTTTCAGAAGCTTGAAAGTTGAGAAGTAATCTATGGAGACAACAACTGGATTAGAAATTAATGGGGATAAACAAGCAGGCATCTAGCTCAGAAGCAACAAAACCCACATGGAAGAAGCACACCAGCCTGTGTGATCATGAGGTGTCGATGGGATCAGGTATCAGGCATCAAGACCCAGAATAAAACCATACCCAAGGTGAAGGGGGTGTGAGGCATGAGTGGAGACCCAATGCCCATCTGTAGACAATTGGACATCCCCTCACAGAGGGGTCACAGGGAAGAGATGAGCCAGTCAGGGTACAGTATAGCACCGGTGAAACACACAGCTTACCTCTAGCTCTTTGGTGCTTCCTTCCCCCGACTATCATGACCTCAATTCTACCTTACAAATCAGATTAGACCAGAGCATGCGCACACTGCTACAGATAAGAGTCCGCAACACAGGGTATCCAGAACAGATAAACCCCTCAGGGCCAACAAGGTAGAAATACCAGCAGGATTAGGGGAGGGTGTGGGGAGAAAGGAGGAATCAATCATAAGGATCAATCTAGAACCCCCTCCTAGGGGGATGAATAACAGAAAAGTGGGTGAGGGGCGACAGAGGACAATATAAGATATGGAAAAAATAATCTAGAACTTATCAAGGTTTCTTGAGGGAGGGCAGGCCGGGGAGGGCCGGGGGAAGAAATGAGGAGCTGATATCAGGGGCTCAAGTTGGGAAGAGAATGTTTGAAAATGATGATGGCGGCATGTGTGCAAATGTGCTTGACACATTGGAGGAACGTATGGATTGTGATGAGAGATGTGAGAGCCCCCAATAAAAGTATTTTAAAAAATAGAAAGAAAGAAATTACTGGGGACAGAGAAGGCAAGGTCTGTGTGTGTGTGTGTGTGTGTGTGTAGAGTCAACATTAATGGATACAAGGAAGAAAATGTTCCAGTGTTAACTGTGGTGATGATTGCACAAACTTTCTTAATATGACTCAATTGTTGAGATGTATGTTAATTACATCTCAATAAAACTATTAAAAATAAAATAAAATAGAGCATGTTATATACGCCAAGTGGGAGGTGGTAAAAGGAGCCCTGGAGATGCAGAGTCTAAGCACACAGCTCACTGCGGGGGTGAGGGGTGCAAACCCACTAGCTGCTCGGCGGGAAAGAGGAGGCTGCCCGACTTCGTACAGATCTTCAGTCCTGGGAACCCAAAGGGCAGTTCTCTCTGGTCTCCTAGGGTTGCTTTGAGCCATAATTGACTTGACAGTTGGTTTTGTTTTTTTGGTTTGGCAGGTTTATTTTATTTATTTATAATCATTTTACAGAAATTATAACATTCCACAGTTCAATTGCATCAAGCAGCATTGTACAGTTGCTACCACAATCAGATCAGTTTCAAAGCATTTTCTTTCTCCTTGAACTCTTTGATATCAGCTCCCCTTTATCCCTTCCCTCCCCCAACCTAGCCCCCCTTATTTATTTTTGCCATATCTTACACCATCCAATATATCCATTCACATACAATTCTGTTGTTTGCTCCCCTCAAGTGAGGTTATACTGTCGTCAGTGCTATCAGCTCCCTATTCCTTCCCACCTCCTCTCTTCCCATACCCTCAGGGAACCATTAACTCCTGTTAACTATTTCTGAAGGGTTATCTACCTTGGCTTTCATGTATCCAACGATTGTAAATATACAAATGAACATACGCAAGTATAGCATGATTAATGAGGTAAAACAAAAACCCTAATAGTAAAGGGAGGACATATTAAAAAACTAGAGGGAGGTTATGTGGATCATCGGTGCTATCCCGCAGCCTGGATTTATCATTCCTGCTGAGTGGCCCTTGTGAGAGGGACTGTCTAATTATCTTGCAGGTAAGTTTTGGGTCTCCACTACATCCACGCCTTCACTTCAATTTGGTTGCTTGTTTTTGAATGGCTACCTTTTCCTGTCTATTCCTCGTGATCACACAGCCTGGTGTGCTTCCATGTGGGCTTTGTTGCTTCCCTGGCAGGTTTAATTTTGATAGAAAAGTAATTATTCCTAAAAGATTATGAGTTGAAAAGTTAAGAATGTCGCTATAATTAACCTAATTCTGTTTCCTCTATGTCAGTTGCTCTTCAAAAAATGGATTCAATGCTTTCATCAGAAGCTGCCTGGGTGTCCCAGTATAAGGACATCACTGATGTGGACGAAATGAAAGTTCCAGACTGTGCCGAAACTTTTATGACTCTCCTCTTGGTTATAACTGGTAATTGCGGACCTCTCTTAAGATACGATGTTGCTTTAAAAAATACTGACTTTTCCTGTGGTTTTTTTCAAGTGGTTGAGTGAAGTTAATATGACCTGGTGGTTATTATGCTATCTTTGTATTATTTTCATTTTTCAGAAATTTAATACAATATTCATTTAGATTTGTGATGTCTAATAAGTAAGAACTTTAAGTAAGAACTAATAGTTTACTTTTATCATCCCCATACTTTTCCCAGGAGTGTGGTTCGTGGGTTACATGTTGTGCTGCTAATCCCTAGATCAGCCTTTTCAAGCTACCAGTGATTCCTCAGGAGAAAGATGAGGCTTTCTGTCCCTGTAAAACAGTGGTTCTCAACCTGTGGGTCGCGACCCCTTTGGGGGTCGAATGACCCTTTCACAGGGGTCACCTGAGACCATCAGAAAACACATATTTCTGATGGTCTCAGGAACTGAGACACCGTACCGTACCTGTCTCCAGACAGGTCCACCCACATGCAGATACGCACACAAAGAGGACCTGGAGTGATGACATCATCGCATCAACCCAATCACATACACCACGTACAAATACAGGTGTGTGTGACAGGGTTGGTGCCATAATGTACTTATGCATACCAGCTACACACGTGCAGAGAGCAGCTACTGTGTGGAAAGCAGCTGCTGTGTTGAGAGCAGCTACTCTGTTAGTAGCAGCTACTGTGTTGAAAGCAACATTAGAGGTAAAATGACTTCTTGAATTATAATTACATAGTGTTTTTGTGATTAATCACTATGCTTTAATTATGTTCAATTTGTAACAATTAAAATACATCCTGCATATCAGATATTTGCATTACACTTCATAACAGTTATGAAGTAGCAATGAAAATGATTTTCTGGTTGGGGGTCACCACACCATGAGAAACTGTATGAAAGGGTCCCAGCATTAGGAAGGTTGAGAACCACTGTTGTACAGAGTTAGTCTTGGGAACCCAAGGGGCAGCTCCGCCCTGTGTTATGGGGTCACTATGACTTGGAATGGAGTTGATGGCAGTGAGGTTGTTTTTTAAACACTTGCCATTCATCTTCGGAAATACCTTCTGAAAACCATGATTGGCCCATATTGTAAACCTGGTTTCCTTGCCCTAGATCTGCCAAAGATTGAGGAAGAGAGTGAAGCAGCTTTCAGAATTGGTAATATAGGACTCTTCGTACTATGCAGGGCACTTCCTGGCCAGCAGCCTCTCTCCCTGCGGGCTCTCCATGTGCCCCTGGCCTTTGGCCACCTCCTTCCCCTGTAGCATTCCTTGGACTTCTTCCGTCACCTGGGGAATTTACTAGTCAGTAAATAATCCCGTATTCTTAAATGTGAAGGAAAAGTATGAATAACATACTTTTTGTATTAATAACTAAATAACTAAAAATTTAAAACTATGAATAACTAAAACACAAGATTAAGGGAAGTTTTACATGTCTTTAAAAAACCTATCAGGAAATCTTTGCAAATAGAATAATATAATTAACCCCCAGGTAGGTACGTGCTACGAAACTTCAAAACAATTATCACTCTTCTATTTCTTCTCCCCAACTTTTTTTTTTCCCACCTGGGCTATTGGAAAGGAAAATTACGCTATTTTATCTTTCTGCTTATATTATTTAACGTTTCTTTATATATATATTTTTTCTTTTTTTTGATTTTATTTTATTTTTTTTAATTTTTTTAACATTTTATTAGGGGCTCATACAACTGTTATCCCAATCCATACACACATCAATTGTGTAAAGCGCATTTGTACATCGTTTCTCAAAACATTTTCTCTCCATTTAAACCCCCGACCCTAGGTCATTTTTCCCCTCCCTCCCCGCTCACCCCCGTTTCTTTATATCTATGAGAGTTCTTCCTTCCCTTTTTAAAAAAAATAAGGTATTTGTTGAATTTTGGAATTGGAGCTATGTATATTTTCTTGGTAAGGGCTTACCAAGTGGCCTTCGGAGAGCATCTTGCTTTCTTTGTTTGCTATTAGATGTAGTTTGTCCCGTAGCATATCAGATTTTCTCATAGGTTTGCTTTTTTTTTTTCTTTAAGTGGAGGCGTAATTTACCTATAGAGCAATGCACAGATCTTAATATCCAGGGAATTCTGAGACATGTCCTTGGAGAGCTTGGAAATGGCATATTGCTTTTTGATAAAGACATAAGAGCAGGTTAGAGTAAAACCTGTAACTACATCCTGGTTTATGCCAAAAATCATGACTCTTGCCTTTTTCACTTTCTTGACAGACAGGTATAAAAATCTTCCCTCAGCTTCCCGAAAGCTGCAGTTCCTGGAGTTACAGAAGGACTTGGTAGATGACTTTAGGATACGATTAACTCAGGTGATGAAAGAAGAGACGAGAGCATCCCTTGGCTTTCGGTACTGTGCGATTCTCAATGCTGTGAACTACATCTCAACGGTGCTTGCAGACTGGGCAGACAATGTGGTAAGTCACTGTGCTGTCGCACTAAGTCGTGTTTAAGTCTGAAGTATTTTACCTTTGACTGTTTATTTACTATTGCACCTATTAGAGCAGTAAACTTATCAAGAGAAAATGCACATATCAGACAGGTTCATAATGATGCCAAATGTAGGTAGGACTAAAATATATACGTCTCTCAATCAGAAAACCCACATAGTTAAATAACCTTGGTATTTTAATGTACACAATCTTTGGAAAAGAAAGTGAACCTTTTATGAAATCATTGTTTATAGGATGAACCGGTTCCTTTTTTGACTCTGTACTCAGGAGAAATATGCAGGTGCGTAATTATCATCACAGAAAAAGTTAAAGTGAATCAAGAAAAGCTAGGACTATAAGGAAAATAAAAGACCAGAATTTAATTCCTCTTGATTACTTTCAAAACCTGCTATTATGAAGAATCATGACAAAACCTAGAAACATTATTGTTTTATTTACACATTTATAAATTACATACCGTTTTATTTTCAAACATATGCAAGAATAAAACAAACCTCATGTGCCCCTCCCTCTTCTTCCCCTCTGCTTCATACACTCGTTTTGTTTCGCTTCAACTCTCCTTCCACACTTGGTTGTATGAAGTAGATCTCAGATAACCATTTTTCATGGCAAATATTTAAGTGTGAATATTTGAGAGATAAGTATTTAAACAAAAAACAGCCACAATATCATTCTCTCTCTCTCTCTCTCTCTCTCACACACACACACACACACGCACGCACGCACGCACGCACGCGTTAGTTCTTCATATTCAAACCACCAAACCCAAACCATAGCTGTTTTCACTCTCAGTAAAATTGTCCCGTGGAGTTTCCAAGGCTCTCTAAGGAAAACAGCTTCCCACATCTTTCTCCTGCAAACAGATGTTAGGATCAAACTGCTAACGTTTTGCTTAGCAGCCAGCTGAGCACGTAACTACTATGCTCCCAGGGCTCCTTCCACCCTACCTTAGAAGTAATATTTCAAATAAATCTAAAAATCAAAACCCTGGGTCAGTTAGGTAACCTATCCTATGAAATATAAGTAGTTCTACATAGAGTTACCATATTATCACAGCAGTTGTAGATGCGGATCTAAGAGTGTTGAGACCAAGGTCTGCACAGAAATGTGTACATGAATGTTCAGAAAAGTGGAAACAACCTGAATGTCCACCAATAAAGAAGAGATAGATAAAATTTGCTGTGTCCATACAATGAAATGTTGTTCAGGAATAAAAAGGAATGACGTACTCATGCGTGTAACCTGGATGGAGCCTGGAAACATATGTTCAGAGAAGCCAGACACAAGAAGCCCCATCCTAGGGTTCCATTAATGTGGAAAGTCCAGAATAGGCAAACCTCTAGAGATGGAAATTAGATGAGTGGTTGCCTGGGGCTTGGGGTAGAGTGTAAAGAGGATTAGTGGACAATGGTTTTGGATGTGGGTTTGGGTATTTTTTTAAGGGGGATCAGGAGTTATGTGTTAAATAGACTGTGGTGATGGAAGCACATAAACACAGTGAAAAAACAAAACCAAAACAACACTGCCATCGAGTTGAGTCAGAAACTTGGTGACCCTATAAATAGAGCATGAGCCAGTGAGAAGCCACCCTACAAGGGTACACTGTAAGTTATATAAGTGAATAATAGCTCAAATGCTAAAAAAGAATTGTTAGTTAATAAACATGCTAACGTGTTCTTGCTTCCAGTTCTTTCTGCAGCTTCAGCAAGCAGCACTGGAGGTCTTTGCAGAGAATAATACACTCAGTAAACTGCAGCTGGGACAACTAGCCTCAATGGAGAGCTCCGTCTTTGATGATATGATCAACCTTTTAGAGCGTTTAAAACATGACATGCTGACCCGTCAAGTAGGCCACGTTTTTAGAGAAGTTAAGGATGCTGCTAAGTTGTATAAAAAAGACAGGTGAGCTCTCTCTTATTTTCTTACAGGTCAACTTGGGTTTGGAGCACAGTAAGAGATGGTCCATGCAATCCGATTTCCCGATTTCTACGTAGGATAGGGTTTGTCCTTTTGCACTGGAAACATTTGACGGGTTTTGTTGGAAATCGTCATAAGTATATTCTTTGACCTCTTTGATTGGAGTAAGCTGCATGTGTCTGTAAGTAGAGGCAGGTGGGGTGTGATCTGGGTTGAGTGGACCAGTCTGCCACCCGTGTTATTTCTCTTGGGTGTAATAGTGGCTTATTGCAATGATGTTTTCTCCTTCTTATAGTTTGGGCGTAAGTTTACAGCGCATATGTTTTCCATTCAGCAGTTTGTACAATTTTTGTTTGGTGCCATTTTTCAGTTTTCCCACTCTTGCCCCTTCCTGACTCCTGGGCCTCGTTTTGGGGCCCCTGCGGCCTCTGGTCTCCTTGTGCTAGATATTATTCATGCTGTTATTCACGGTATAAGCCTGTCTGTTTTCTGGTTGAAAGTTGATCCTGAGGGTGGGGTTCCGTTCCGGGTGGGGTTTGTGTCCACAGTCTAGCCTTGGGAACTGTCACCTACGTTGCACCATGTGGGAAGTTGCTCTCACGGTGCTCTGTGCATGCTTGCCAAATCCACACCAACCAAACTAACAGACTGCCATGGAGTGAATTCCAACTCATAGCAACCCTATAGGGCAGGGTAAAACTGCCCCTGTGAGTCTTCAAGGCCGCAACTATTTATAGGAGTAGATAACCCTGTCATTGCCTTGAGGAGCGGTTGGTGGTTTCAAACTTTAGACCTTTTGGATCCTAGCCCAATGCTTAACCCCTATGCCACCAGAACTCCATGAAATTTAAAGACAGGAACATTTATTTTCTGATAGAGCTTTTGATGTGTGGGTAGTAATCCTTATCTTATCCAAAAGGCACCAGGATTATTTAAACTTGGGGCACTTCCCATAACATAAAGGGGTTTCCTCCTCCTTTAGAACTGTTGTCATGAATGCTCTTGTGTCAGGCTGTGTTGCGCTTGCCCTTTCAGATGGTTGTCTCTGCCGTCTCAGTCGGAGCAGGCAGTCATGTCCCTGTCCAGCTCAGCGTGCCCCTTGCTGCTCACGCTGCGAGACCGCTTACTTCAACTGGAGCAGCAGCTGTGCTTCTCCCTGTTTAAAGTGTTCTGGCAAATGCTTGTGGAGAAGCTGGATGTATATATCTACCAAGAAGTACGTACGTGTAAATGAGATGATGGGGCCACGGTGACACAGGCACATGCTATACCATGACCTCTTCTTCCTTTCAGATCATTCTTGCTAATCACTTCAATGAAGGAGGTGCAGCCCAGCTGCAGTTTGATATGGCTCGGAATCTTTTCCCTTTGTTTTCTCACTATTGCAAGAGGCCTGAAAATTATTTCAAGCAGTAAGTGCAATATTTTAACTATTAAGTGGATCATTTTGAGGTCCCCATGATAACAATAAGTACTCTTGTTAGGTATGGTTGAGGCAAACTCACAGCATCCCTGTGTACCCCACTGGCTGGTCCTGCGTCATTCTCACAGTTATGCTTCCGCCCATTGTTGCAGCCAGTGTCAATCCATCTTGTGGAAGTCCTCTCTTTCATCTGACCCTCCACCTGCCCAAGCATACTGTCCTTATCCAGGGAGGACTGGTCCCTCTTGACAACATGTCCCAAAATATAGGAGATGAAGCCTCACCATTGAAATTATAAAACAATTTCTTTGTATTTCTATTGTATGCTAAGAACATTGCTAAACACAATTGGGAGACCAAAACAAGTATAAGATGTGACTGCTGATCTTCCAGACTTGATATCAATTACATCCTGGGTTCTGTTTTTTGCATTTGGCCTAACGCTATTTACTTATTAGAAAATGAAAGCACAGACAGTTCTGTCATACTACACAAATATAATCAATCACAAATATGATTAGTAGCTAATAAAATAAGCCAGGCCTAAAGGATATTTTTCCTTAAGTATTTTATGTTAGTTTTGGCTCTAAGAATAATTTTAGACTTTATTTATTTTGCTGGTTAAACTTTAAACTATTTAGGGGTTCCTGAGGTTATGAAATATTTCTTTTAAACATATTATAAGGATCATTTTTGTTCATCTCAGTAAGATATTTGACTATTCCTGATGTTTTTTCCCCTCTCAGTATTCTACCCTTCTCCATTCCTCTCATCTTACTCCTTACCTTTCGCTTTTCCCATTTCCTGACTTAACTAAAGTCTTAGCTACATTCAATTGACTGTTAGTATCAAGAACTACTTCTAGGATAGTAGTGCAGAGTGAAAACGAGGGCCCTTCAGGGTTAAAGCTGTTAAGGGGTTTGGCTGCTCACCGAAAGGTTGGCAATTTGAGTCCACCCAGATGTGCCTCAGCAGAAAGGCCTGGTGATCTACTTCTGAAAAGTCAGTAATTGGAAATGCCATGTATGAAGCATGACACATGTGGGGTTGCCATGAGTCAGAAACCCCTCAAAGGTAAAACTGGTTACTATTATAGTACTCTGCTGAAAGATAAGCGTACACGATAGCCTTACCATGTTAAAAAAAAAAAAAGACAAAGATTCATGGATATTATTTATAGAGGGCCAGGGGACTCCCGGTTCAGGGAAGTGTTCATGTTTTCAACATAAAAGCGTTCTCGTTAATACAGATAGAGGTAACAGCTCTCATTTCCCTCTTTTTTTTTTTTAACAGTGTAAAAGAAGCTTGTATTGTCTTGAATTTGAACATTGGTTCTGCCCTCCTTCTGAAAGATGTACTACAATCAGCATCTGAGCAACCTCCTGCCACAGCGGCATTAAATGAAATTGGAATTTACAAACTGGCTCAACAAGATGTTGAGATTCTACTTAATTTGAGAACAAACTGGCCTAATACTGGAAAGTAATACAAGACTTTCAAGAAGCACTTTTTAGCTTTTTTTTTTTAATAAGAGGAAGCCAGTTGGATATGATACTCTGTATCAATGAGACTGGACAACTGAAAACTTGATTGACTCATTTAATTATTGGAATGCAGACTTTAGGTGGCAGTGAATGATGATATTAAATCTTGAAACCGCCTGTCCCTAAGAAAACAAAAACATAATATTCAGAAATGATGAAAACTTAGTAATCCCACTTACCAAAAAAAAGTTTGTGTGTCTGTTGGAAAAGATACAAGAGCATTGCTAATAAAGGAAGACCAACTTTCATTATCCTTTGTTAATTAATGGAGACTGTCGTGGGTAATCAGCTACAGCAAGTACATTTCGTAAAGTCCCTTTAGAAGAATGCATGTTTGTAGTTGAGGTTGCTGAGTCTAGTCTGGGAGTTGACTGCACTTTGGAAGGACAGACTCAGGTGATGGCATGGGTGGGGTCAGCCTTCATTTCCCAGCAGGGCCCTTCCCGGCTTCCTGGGTCCATTCTGTGTGACAGTGGGCAGCAGCATTTCCTTCTGGGATGAACCATTTCAGGCCAGAGCCCTCGGCCTCACTCCTTTCCCCGGGGGAGGGAATGTAGGTAAACACTCTTTGTTTCAGACTAACCAAACTACTGATGAGAGTGAATAGTTGACATCTGCTTTTTCTCTAACTTTTCCTGGGTCTTGAGAGTTATTTTAAGAATTGCTTGATTAATAAAGTCCTTCGAGTTAAACATTTAAATGGAAATGAGTGAGATTCACTGGAGGTTTTATGTATCTATTCTTACTCCAATTTTTTTACCCTGGTTTAGTGTTTAGTTGCTACAGTTTCCATGTTATGCCAGCTTGCAACCTATATTGCTGATAAAAATGCCCTTTGCACTAAATGACTTTGAGATAAATTCTATTACTTTGTGTTTTATGCATAGAGTTTTCAAACTAGTACCCAGAGCTCAGAGCTTCTCTGGTAGTTCTGACAGATGGGGGCTTTTCCACTGCCTCCTTTTGAGACTTGCTGGGGTTTTCACTCAGGAAAGAATGGAGCTGCCTCTGGAATGTCCTCTTCAACTTCAGCATTTTCTCCCTCATTTTCCCATGTTTCCAAACCTCACACCAAACCCACTGATATGGAGTCGATTCCAACAGAGTGCCCCTATATATGGGGTCTCTGAGATGTCAATCTTTACAGGAGCAGGCAGCCTCACTTTTTCCTCATGAAGCAGCTCATGAGGAGTGAGTTTGAACCAGTGGCCTGGTGGTTAGCAGCTCAATGCCCAACCCTCAGTGCCACTGGGGCTCCTCCCCAGGCTTGAAGACTTCATTATTAGCCCTCTGTGTCCTCATTTAAGGAGCCCTGCTGGTGGAGTGTGTTACCCATTGAGCTACCAACCCGAAGGTCAGCCATCACTCTGTGGCAGGAAGATGAGGCTCTCTGCTCCTAGAAAGAGTTTGTCTCAAACCCCCCTGGGGCACTTCTCCTGTCCTGTGAGTTCACCGTGAGCTGGAATGGACTTGCCGGCAGTGAGTGTTCTCAGTTGTTCTTATTTTCGAGTCAGCTAAAAGCTTTATGGAAATGAGAAATTTCTGTAAAGGTAGGAACCTTCATTCTAAAATGTAGTACTTTTACTTAAAAATCATCACATATTAAAATAACTACTCATTCAGAAATAAACTTACACCTCCTTCTTGAATTTCTCCAAGGTTACTAAATGACCATCATCATTTAAACCTTCTTTTTCATTGTACAGACCCAAGGTTTTTAGGGCTATTAAAAAAAGAAAAAATTTTGCTCAGTGAGTACTCTTTTCAGTTAAAGTTACAGAACAACCACAAACACGTTCCCAGTTTCTAGACGCTACTGACCTTCTTTATATTGCACAAATGATATGAAGCCTTTGTTAGCGGAGTCCAGCATCTCAAACATGGCCACGATGTTAGTGGCATCCATAAAGAAAGGAAAAGTCACTCCTGTCACTTTGGCAAGTCTCATTCTTTCCAACATCGTTACTAAAAATTCTCTTGGTTTTTCTGCAAAATAATTCCAATTTTCTGAGATGAAATTTAAAGTATGTCACAGATGCTAATAGTCGTTTAAGTTTATAAACATGATTTGCAGCAGTAGGGTGAGGCGGTTCATGCTTATGGAAGGAATCCTGGTGGTGCTTTGTGTTAGGTGTGGGGCTGTTAACCACAAGGTCAGTTGTTCAAACCCACTAGCCGCTCTGCAGGATAAAGATGAGGCTGTCTGCTCCGGTAAAAATGTACAGTTTCAGAAACTCTAAATAGGGAGCCGATGGGTGAGAATCCACTTGCTGGCAGTAGGTGATACTATGGAATACTAAGTTGCCATTGATGGCGATGGAAAACTGCATTAAGGGTAGGGCTGTGCTGTTGAGTAATGTAATTGTGATTAGTAAGTTATACATGGGGGCTTCTAAATCTAATTCCATTTTTTCCCATGAATTATACTAAGGGCCTGCCCCTCTCTTTGCCTTTGTGCCCCGGTAAAAGTTGAATTGACAAAAGTTGAGTTTACAATGACAAAGTTGAATGGACACAAGTTGTATTTATAATGACAAAGCTGCTGAGGCTGCTAATGTGGAAACACATTTTGTGGGACTGTTTCTTGGTTTTAGGTGGTCTCACGGGGCACCCAAGTTAATTGGTCCAATAATGTGGCTCATGCTTCTGTTCTATTTCCTATTTCGCATTTTTTTCCCCTTGCCTAGTTCTTTTTGTAGTGCTGAGGGTCGTAAGAGCTTGCAAACAGCCTTCCAAGGGCTTTTCCAGGAGGAACGGATGGAGAGTCGGGGATTGTAAAACAAAAACAAACTCACTGCTGGCGAGCAATGGCAACTCACAGCAAGCCTGTAAAACAGAGGAGAACCGCTCCCGTTGCTTCCC